GTTAATTCTGAGCTGTTTCCTAACTGATCACCCTGCCTCAAACCCGATACTGAACATCTCTCCACTGCAGATTTGATCCTGTTATTTGTCTGCTAACCTTAATGGGTCTGTTGGAACAGGCCCATCTCTTCTGCCTATCCCAGGTGCTCCCTTACACCCAGTGCTCCCGCCAGACCATCTCTCCAGGCCCTGACACTCCACCTCTGCAGGGACTTGCTGGCCGACCTGCCTCACTGGCCTGGCACCACTGCTTCCTCAGCATTAACTGTGTCTCCAGAGTGTCTTGAGTGTTGCATTCCCTGGTAGACTGTGAACTCCAAAAGGAGAGGCCCTTATGGGTTCCTACAAGTGGATGCTTGGTAAATACTTTTAATAGGACTAATTCGGGGTCAAAAGTACAGGAGGCAGAGGAGGTGGGCAGAGAAATAGAAATACCCACCCAGAGAGCCCAGCTTTGACTGTCAATGGGAGAGACACCCCTTAGCCAAAGCACCCAGGATGACTGTCCACAGCACACATCTCCATCCTGAGTCTCTAGGGCACCATAAAGCCCCAGAACCTCCTCTGAACCCATTTCCTCACTCCTTAAGTGCCAGACTACAGAACCCCAAGTTCTCTCCTGGCTCTGGCCCTCACGTGTGTGCTGCCTGCTCACTTCAAAAGAATGTCCTGAGTAATTTAGGAGCAAAAGGGAAGAACCAGCTGTGCTGTAGGGCAACAGGGCTACATTTTGGAAAAGGGATACATCTGAATTGGGTTTTGGAGGATGCGTAGGAGTTTTCCAGGAAGAGGATGGAGAGAGAGATAGAGGAGAATCTAGACAGGTAGTCACTGGACACACCATTTCCTTCTGTTGCCGGCTCATTTTACTCCCACTCAAGACAGCGGGCTCCACACAGGGTGCCACCATCTATGCTCCCCATGGGGTAGGACTGTCCAGACACACAGAAGGGGATCGATGTCAGTCCTTCTCAGGCCATTTGTCCCCCCTGTACACTCCCTGCCCCACAGGGGGAAGCAGAGGCAGTCCCTCCGCATATGACCGGTGGCAGGTCGCTCCACAAGACTCAGCGGTCAAGTTCAACAACCCCCAACCTCTTATCGCCTCATCTTCACAAGGCACTGGGAAGCACAGCAATGACAAACTGCTTCCAACCCTTCACTCCCTGTAATTTAATTCATAGACCTGACATTTTCAAATATGTGTATTTTAGTTTTGGAACAAAGGGATTGGATAGTTTAAAAGCAAACCCCAAATGTGCCCTTGTAGCAAATCTGCTGGCTGCTTCTGCTCAGAAGTTCGTTCGCCAACGCACTTTTTTCAGGGAAGTGATCCTGGGCAATTCAGAATCACAAAGAGCTTCCTCCATTGCCACTGGAAGTCTTCCTAGTCTCTGCACAGTGGGTAGCAAGCAGCAGCAATGCAGGCCTGGAGATCAGAGTATACCAAGCTCTTTCCTTCTAGAATATTCACTTCTGAATGGCCACATCCCCAGGTGCTTTTAACTGCAGAGAATTTCCTGAGGTGTGGCAATGGACGCGCTGATAGTCAATAAACTCTTTTCTACAAGCTTAAAAGGTACCATTATGCTGGGTTTACAAAACAACTTTTAAGCCAAGAAAAATGATGGCAGTGGCTCCAAGCAGAAAGCCAGCAAGGATACTGACACTTGTTTGGTTTGAAAGATGGTGGGTTCCACAAAATTTACGTCCAGCAACCTGAAGCAGGCCAGCCTTATTTCCATGCAGTAAAACCGTCAGTAGCTGTCTATCCACTCCACAACACAGCCTGCACTTAAGACCTTTCAATAACTCACTGGGCACCAGTTATGTGCCAGGCACTCTTCTGGGTGAGGACGTGGTAATGAAAGAAGCAGAGGAGAACAAAGCCCTGCTTCCAGGGAGCTTATGGCCCGTTAGAGAACAGGCAGATGTGCACGTGCAGGGCACAATGGCTTGTGCACCAGTGAGCTGGTCTCTATCATTAGCACGAAGGAGGCCAGGATGGGAGTGCTGTGAATTCTCAGGTCCTGAAACATACATGTGGCATGTTCTGCAGAGAACTGTTACCTGCTGCTTTGCTATTGGGACGCAGGGGCTGGCAGTGCGATCAGGAGTGCAAAGCTAAAGAGCGAGGCCCGATCAGCCTTGGAAGGCAGAACAAAGGGGCAACTTGATCTCATGTTTTAATGTAACCAGTCCAGCCGTGGTGTTGAGAGCAGACTGGAAGAGAGCCAGTGTGGAAGCAGGGAGACCAGTTTGGGCTTTCCTTCTACAACCAGGTGAGAAAAGGACAGTAGCAGCTTGCACGAAGTGGAAGCAGAAGAGTAGTGAAAATCGGTCCAATTCTAGGGTTACTTTGAATGTAGAAGTCAAGAGACTTCACTGAAGAATTAAATACAGCATGGAAGAGAAAGGGGGAATCAGGTAGAAGTCCAAGGTCTGGAGCCTTAATAGCTGGAGGAAGGAAACATGGGTAACCCAAATGTGGTTTGGGCACATTGTCTGATACCAATCACATATATCTGTTGGACATTCTGTTATCTGGTCCCAAACCACCTCCCATCTCTTCTCTACTCCAGGAATATACTGTAACCAGATCATTTTCCTTCCTATTCCCTGACTGTTCATGAGGACTCACATCTCCTCCCTGGAGTATTCTGCTCTAATAAATATCCTGCCACCTTTGCACACCAATGATCCTCAATCAAACAAGAGCCCAAGGGCCTGATCTAAACCCAGAACAGAAAGGGACACAGCAGCATCCCACGCTGTCCTAGCCCTGCAGAAACTTACGAACAGGTGGGAAGGGTAATCAGATGTGTCCTCAAAAGAATGGTAAGCTCTGAGGTATTGGGAAAAAATAAAGACCTCAGAAGAACGAGCAGAATGGGCTTCCCAAGTCAGGGAATGCCTCCTGCAAACGGTGCTTGTCCGTGGGCCATGAACAGCTTCTCCACTAGTCTGCAAGCAGCTTGTTACTGGCTTCCTTTATTTTGTGGGGTCTGACTCACCTCAGAGGGGTGGGCCCACTGCAGGGACTGTAGGAGCTGCTGCAATTTAAGCCCCTCACAGTACCAGACACACAGTAGGTACTTGTGTGAGGTGTCCCGCCTGGATGTGAATGTAGATGGTCATGACACGTGTGTCTCATTAGGGGCAAACCCCGTTATTCTACAGCTCTGTATCCATTCTTCAGTCCATTTTATCTGCTAAATTACCAGGATCTATTTTGGGCCATATCAGCTTTTATCTTCTCAAAATCTCAGAATTTCATCGTAGAGACCTCCAGATCTTGATAATCAAATTCTTGGCGATGTTTTTTTCACCCAGTTTTGAGAGGCCATATCAGCTTTCTAGGAATCCCTGTGACTAGCAGAGGAGCTGTTAGCACCTTCTAAGCATATTCACATCCACCCACCTCCTCATTTGAGGTGCCCAGCAATCCTGGGCAGGGCCCAAAGTGCCTCACACAGCTCTGTCTTCCGGCAGAGCAGCAGCAGATGACTTGCTCACGCAGGCACTGGGCAGAGCCAGCAGCACCTCAAACTGTACAGAGGCCCCTTGCTGGGGGTAGTCATCAAGACAATGTGACCACCAAATGACTTGTGAGCTGGACCCCAGCAGTTGGGAGGCTCCTCACCCCTTTCATCCTTGGGATGTAAGTTCTTCTTACCTTCCCTGCATGCCCCCCTGCCAAGGACACAAGACCTAGAGACAGTGATGTGGTGTTAGAGCACCTGGACTGTATATATAACCCTGGTAAAGCTTCTATGTGAACTTTTAAGATCTGGTGAGTGGGTGCAGAGCTCTCCTCCATCTTGCGGTTGCCCCGTATGTAAGTTCCCTTTGCTTATACACCTGCCACCTACCCACCTGGAATGGCCTGCCTCTTTTTTTTGGTCTCTTGTTGCCCTCTGCATATGGAGGCTGGTTTCAGATTATACCTGGGAGTCTCCCAAGGAGCTTGTGAACCAACACCCCTTCTTTTACAGACAAGGAAACTGAAACCCAGAGAGCACCTTCATTCCCTCAGCCAGCTGTAAGGTTCCTGAGGGAAAGCCCATCTGATCAGCGACAATCCCAACCTAACGAGCGTAATCAATCACTCAACAGACATGCATCTAAGTTGACATCCCTTGGGAGAACAGGGAATCCAAACGATCCTCTTACACACTGTATACAAGACCCACTCCTAAGCTCAGAACCCCTCCCCAATGTCTGTACTGGCACCTTCACGGTCCATCCCCATTCCATCACTCAGGCTCAGGGAGAAGATTTCAGTGTGCAATCCCAGCAGTGGTGAGACTGACAAGCAGACTGGGTCACCGGAAGTTTAACAGGAATTTGTGAGGATTTCCCAAAAATTTGGCTCTAGAAACATTCTCAGCCTGGGTACAGGATGCCTGTGTGAATGATTCATGGGAATAAAAACTGGTTCCTGATTTTGCACTGAGGCTCAGATCAGGCTGGAGGGCAGAGGCCTGTGCATACGTCTGAGCTCTGCCACACTGGGAGACTGTGGGTATTAATAATGACTAAACATTAAGTGCCTTGTAACAAGTGCTGGGAGGGTGCCAGGCATGCTGGGCTGCAGGGGCGCATTATCTCACACAGGGGGCCCAGACAGCCAGGGAAAGCTGGGGGAGCCTCCTATCCACCTTCATTTACGGAAGAGGAAACTGGGGCTCAGCGAGGCCCAAGTCACCACACCACCCCGCCAAGGTCAACCAGCACTGACCGGCAGTCCAATCCCTCAAATCCAGAGCCCTTATTTTTCTGGACTGAGCTAATCTGAGCGTCAGTTTCCTCCTGAGGAAAGATAAGTGAGTGGGCCTAGACAAAGTTGAAACAGTCTTCCGGGGCGTCTGGGGTGCGGTCCCCAGGCCGAGGGGGCGTGGCGTCCGCACCCTCCCCAGGCCCCTGGGCGGCGCTGAGGGATTAACCTAGGAACTACACGCGGGGAAGGAACCGCGCCTGGTCGGGGAAGGGGTACTCACGTCGATGTTCCTTAGAATGACGCACTTTCCATTGGTGTAAAGAAAATTGTTGCCCTTGGGATCGCCGCCGATGATTTTGGAGACGCCCCTCTCCACCTGGGGGAGGCTGGCGAACACCTTCTCTGCGGAGACACAAACGCAGCAGGGTCGTGGGCGCAGCCCCGGTCTCGGCCCGGGAGGGCTGGGGACGGAGGGAAGGGGAGGCGAGGGGCCTGGACCGGTCTCAGCCGGTCACCTGTTGCCGCCACCGCGAGGGGCAGCCGCCACTCTGAAGGAGCGCCGGGGACGGTGCGACTTCCTGGCGCACGTTGCGGACCAGGCCCTCGGGGCAACGGGGACCCCGCCGAGCCCCGTCCGCAGCGCTAACTTTGGGGGCGCCCCTCGGCAGGGCATCGCCGCCGGGGGTCCGAGGGCAGCGGGACGCCCGCCGGCCTGCGCCCGCGGCCCGGTTCCCCGCCGGCCGCTCGCTCCCACGTCCGCCGACGGCCCCGGCCGCGCGGGTGCCCACCCCTGGGCACCGGGCCATGGCACTTACTGATCTCGAACGGCATCGTCGCCACTTGTTACCGAGCCGCGCTCGCCGAGAGGCTCCGGGGCCGCCCGCGCCGTGACCAGAGCTGGCGGAGGCCGAGCCGGGTACGGGACCAGAAGGCGGCGCCGGGCGTGCCGGGCGCGGAGGGGGCGGTCCGAGGTCGGGACTCCGAGGCCGGCTCGCGCCCTGCCCTGCGCGCTGCCGCTGCGGTCTCCCCGAACCCGGAAGCGCGGTCCCGCGCGCGGCTCGCCCCCAGCTTTGACCATATATAGTCAAGCACTCGGCTCGGCTGCTGCGGCCCCGGCGAGCCTGCGCGGACCTGGCTGCTCCCCTACCCCCACCCCGCGCGGGACCGCCCCCCGGAAGTGACGCCACACGCGGCCCAGTGAAAAGGCGGCGCGGGCAGCGTGGCTTGTCAGAAAGGTCCTGAGAACGGGTGGGTTTGGCCAGGGAAAACTTTGGGGGAGGTTGGTGGGCTGCTCGGGGTGGCTCTTAGTCGAAGTTTGAGGGCGCTGAGGCACCAGCGCGCTGCAGCGGAGGCCCGCGGGAACCTTTTTCAGGCCCGGGTTTGTGTAGCGGGCGTTCAGGAACCGCCAGCCTTCCGGCCCGGTCGGCGCCCGCTGGGGCTTTGCAAACAGTGGTGTGCTTTTTTCCCTCTTTTTAAAAATGACTAAATGGAAGTTGAAAGCCGCTGGCAGCAGGAACTTTAGGGATGTGTTTTGCGGGGCGCGAACTCTATCTCAGAACTTCCTTTTAGAAAGCTGAGAAGCCAAGAAGAGCAAAAGGGGATGCAGGCTCTAAGAAAACTAGGGTTACTTCCAAATCAAGACGGCAGGAGGGAAGAGGGGGCTTGCACGTGTAAAAGCGAGGCAGTGGCTCCCTGGGGAAAAGCTAGGGCGCTGGCGTGTTCGTTTTGATGGTCACCTTAAGTAGGGGAGAAGTGGTCTTTTTCTCTAAGCTATTACAATTTCTGTTGGCTCCACTTTCAAGAGACATCCACGTTAATCACTTCTTGCGTCCACGGCGGTAATTCCTGCAGAACTCGGCTCGCCTGGGTTATTGCAAGTGCTTCCTGTTTGGTCTCGGTTTATGCACCTACCTTCCCCCACCTTCACCTCAGCCTGTTCAAGTTAACCTTTTCTCACCTTTAAACCTCTAGAACGCTGAGACTCAAAAGTTCAAGCAAGTCCTTAAAATGGTCTACTGGGTTCCATGGGGTCTCAAGAGTTACCTGAGACTCTTATGGCCTTCTGCCCTCAGCTGTAAACCTCCCCCAAAAAACTCCCCCCGCCCACCCCCTTGCTTTCTGTGCCACGCTGGACACCTTGGTGCTCCAGGAATGCCTCAAGCATGTTCTTGCCCTAGGGCCTGTGACTTTGTTCTCTGCTTGGAATTACGCTTACCTGCCAAAAGTTGCCATCTACAGGACCACCTTAACTTAAATTGCAACTTCCAGCCCTTGCAAACAACTCTGGATACTACCTTCTCTGTGATTTTTGCCTAGAGTATACCCCTGGCACGTAATGCTCAAATGGATGACCCTGCACCCCATATGCAATCCTCTATCAAGAACAAAGTAGTTCTGTGAACTGAAGGGCTCTAGAAATGTTAAGTCTGTACAAAATAGATTCCTAAAGCAGAAACACAAAATGCAAGTGGTCTACAGGTGGGGGCTGTAATGACTCAAACAAGTTTAATTAGCAGACCATAACGTTTTGGGTTAAGATCAGGTGGGACAACTTTAAGTCAACCCCTGGAGCATTATGTAATGGAAGGACTGGAGTAAAAACCTAAGGCATCAACCTCAAGTTCTTGCAAGCTGGTTACCTTTATGTACATACAGACAGGTTGGGCTTACGTTAACTTTTTCATCTCGTTCGCGTCTCACGCTATCTAAGTAAAACATCCTCAAATCCCTAGCAGGATGCTAGGCTCTATGACTTTTAATTTGAGGAAGTTCTATGTTGGTCTGGGGGCTTAAGTTTGAGTAGAGATGCTGTTCGCTATGAAGATAAGTTTGCCTACAGCCATTGTGACCAGTATGTGTAGTTGCCAGGATTGAAGGGGAGGGACACCAAGGTGTTATTCCCCTGGTGTCTGGAGTGATCCGGTTGTCTTAGCCGTTGCACCTCAGGTGGTGGTGTGGCTCCAGGATTTTCCTACTTGGGTTCTATTACTACTCACAGCTTTTGTTAATACCACCCGTAACGGACCATGCCTACAGTCTCTGGTGGGAGCCCTGAAATGTCCTGGTGACTCACTACTGTGTCCAGCCACTTCTGGGAGCACCTCATTTCTGTAGCTAGCTCCCTCCCTGGCATCTGGCAATGTCCCAGTAGCACCTATGGGAAACAAAACCTGACAAACCAAATACCTCCTCTCCCCCTCCCCTCAGCTGCATGAGGACTGCTCCTTGGGGGGTCCCTTCTCAGTGACCAGCAACCCTGTCCAGGTACACAGGCCAGAAACCTCATCCCCCTCGTCAATGTTTAACCGAGTCTGGGCTCTTCGCCCGCATCTCTCTGGTTTGTGTATCCATTGCAAACACTGGCTCCAAGCTTTATCTCACCTGGGCTTCCTTTAACTGCTTCCTAACTGCTTTCCCTGTGTTCACTAGGAGCCCTTTATTGCAGCCAGAGTAACTGCAAACACCCTGTTAGCCCTCTACCTACTACCATCCTCTCCAAGCCTGCAAGGCTGGCTGCTTGCCTGGGTTTTTCTGCTCGGGCCTCTGAGGCCACCATCAGGGCCTTCCAGCTCTGCCGCTCAGCTTAGGGCTGCGGCTTCTACTGTTGCCAGGCCTTCCCCGACACCCCAGTTTAAGGCCAGTAAATTCAACTAAGACTTCTCAAACTAAAGCGGAATATATTACACCTTCCTATGCCTGCTGGATTCAAGGACGTGGCCTTTCCTTCCCCCATTGCAAGCATGAGAACAGGGGCTTAGTGCAGGGCCTACCAGACAAGCCAAATGGAGCTGCTGCGCTCTACAGTAAAGGGAATGAGCAAGAGAGAGCCTGAATTCACAGTGGATTCCAAGGCATCAGCCAGTGTCTCTTAAATAAACACATACTACTTTGGGTAACTCCTTAAACTTAAAACTAGGCTGGCTGTGGGTAAACTGGTTGTGGTTACTTGAATCTAGTAACTTGGAGGAAGCCCTTAGATTGACCTCATGTGTGCATGAGGCCTTACTACTTACTTCACTTATGAGGGAGGTGGGTTTCCAGTGAAGCTTTTAATTGGCAGTGATAATGAAGGCTAAGGACACTGGCTCTGGGAATCCACCTCCTGAGCATGCTTGCCCTTGGAGCCCTTGTTTTCCTCCTCCATAAATTGGGAATATACAGGAAATGGGAGGTTCCTGCTCAGACGCTTCTGGGACGAATAGGAAGGAGTGATTGGAGCAGGAAGCTGTAGGGGAACCTCCCAATCACTGGCCCTGCCTCCTCTGGGAAGCTTAGGCCTTCCCTGTCGCTGGTAAACAAGCTCAAGGTAAACCTCACTCAAGGGCCATCTCTAAGGTGTCCCTGGAACAGATCACCTTTCCATCTCTACTACTTCGTGTTAGCCTTACAGCCATCACCTCCAGTCTGTACCATGAGCAGACCCTCATTTCCAGATTCCCAAAAATTCTAGCCCAGGTTGAATTCAGGATTGGTCCATGTCCAGGTAGCTATGAAAGGGGGTGGTGGGGGTAAAGTCCTATGGGGCAACCTTAGCTTACAAGGTAACCACCTGAGGATCCAGGCAGTCTGGGATGGGGCTTCAGGCCAGCCCCGGAGAAGGGAGAGCTACTGAAGGCTGGGCCGCCACCCTCTTCTCTCTGCTGCTGCTGTCTTTCATGCCTTTGTGAGGATTGACAATACAAAACTGACCTGCTACACAAACATTCCAGAGGTAATCCCTGGTGTGTAAAGTCCCCAAAGCAACAACAAGTGAATTTTATCTCCAATCCCAGGTTCAAAGTTGTTATAGAGATGCTTGGACTGCTCACTCCAAAACAAATGGTACTTAACAGGCTCCACCTGGGTGCTGTGCTTTGCAAGCGGGTGAATACTCGACACCTGTAGCCAATGCTACAAGAATGTTCAACTCCTTGTAAGCTACAGAACCTTGTGCATATTCTACTCTCCCATTTGAGGCCATCTACAGTAGATGTACCTCTAAGACCTCACTGCATAGCTTCAGGCTACCTTTAACATGTTCTACAGTTCAGGGGATATATCCTGTCTACTCAAATTACTGAGCTATCTTTCCCTTAAACCATTGCTTTATAGATAGCTAAACTTCCACTATCAGACCTAATGACTGGATGACGATTAACTGGTTGTAACCAGCAAACCTGGTTTCAGAGACTTGGCCCTAAACCTAAGTCCTGTGCTACCTTATTCACTGTCTTCATCTTGCTGCCCGGGGCTCTGGGCCTGTCACTCCAATCCCCTGCCTGCCCCTCTTTACTTTTGTACTAAAAACTGCAAGTTGAAAGACGGAGCTGCTGTTCCTTTTCTCTGACAAGGAAAAGCAGGTGAAGTGGTGCCCTCACCTCAGCCTCCCTGAGAGGCCCTTTCTAGAACAGACTTCTGCCCTTGGGTACACCTTGTGAGCCAGGCACTGGCTTGCATGCATGGTCTCCATTGGCTCAGAGGTTATGATTTGCTGAAGTTAAAAAGCAAGGGGTGAAATCAAGATTCCAGCTCAGGTCTGCCTTGCTCAGAGCCCAGGCTGTTGTCCTTAACACAGGAGAGAAGGTTGAATGGGACCAATATTGGTGAATCTTGACTAGGCAGCTTTATCTTGTTCCAGTAAGTGGTAGAGTTCAGTAGCTCTTCAGGCAAGTTAAAGGATGTCACTCCATTTTGTAAGTTGAAAAGCTTTAACACTTTTGGACAGATATTCAGAATTATAGTGCACTCTGCCTTTTGCTTCTGACTCATGTCAGAAAGGGGCTGGGTAGTCTCTGGCTGGCTGTGTGGCCAGTCATTATCTGCCTGGCTCCGGACACTGACCTGTCCCAGATGCACCCATGAAGTGGATGTGTGGCTACATGATCCCTTGGCATCCTTCAGGGTTTCAACAATTCCTTAGTTTGTATTTTCAGTTGTATAGGAGAGGCAGCAATGTGTGTTAGCATGGCTATGGGGCTCAGTGACCCCTGCTGGG